AACATGCTACACATAAGTATATTCATAATACTATAGATGAAAGTATATTTAAACATGCTATATAATATATTTATTAAAAGGTACAAGCGAATAGGCTACATACATAGCATGATTACAACTACTATAGATGAACATAATTAAAAGGTATGTTTAAACATGCTACACAAACACATTATAAACATGCTATACAATATATATAGAGGGCTAGTTTTTATACTTCCCACATTTATTAACTATACCCCCCTATCAAAACAAAAACTTTTGAGCAATGATATCTCAGTAACCACCTGATAAAATTCGATAAAATTTTTTTTATTTTGATTCTATAAATTTAGTAGATTCAAATAAAAAAATTTTTATCAAATTTGGTCAGGTGGTTGTCGAGATACCTTTGCTCAAAGTTTTAAAAAAACTCAAACCACCTATCAAAATAATTTTTTAAAACTTTGAGTGAAGATATCTTGATAACTACATTCAATAAAATATTTTTATTCAATTAGGCTAAACTCATATAATCAAAAGAAAAAAAAGTTCATCAAATTTGATCAGGTGGTTATCGAGATATCTTCGCTCAAGGTTTAAAAAAAACTCCAAAATAAAGAAGCTGCACCAAATTTTTTTAAAACTTTGAGCGAAGATATCTTGACAACCACCTGATCAAATTCGATAAATCATTTTTTATTCGAATCCTCAACGCTTATAGAATTTAAATAAAAAAATATTTATCGAATTTTATCAGGTGTTTGTCGAGATATCTTCGCTCAAAGATTTTAAAAAAACTCAACCCGTCGATCAAAATAAAGAAGCTGCGCCAAATTTTTTTAAACCTTTGAGCGAAGATATCTCTATAACCACCTGATCAAATTCGATAAACTTTTTTTCTTTTGACTATATGAGTTTAGCCTAGTTTAATAAAAAAGATTTTATCGAATTTGGATCTGTGGTTGTCGAGATATCTTCGCTCAAAGTTTTAAAAAATTGGTTTAATAGGCGTTTTGAGTTTTTTTAATACTTTGAGCAAAAATATTTCGACAACCACCCGACCAAATTCAATAAATATTTTTTTATTCAAATCGACTAAACAAATATAATCAAAATAAAAAAATTTTATCGAATTTTATTAGGTGGCTGCCGAGATATCATTGATCAAAGGTTTTGTTTTGTTAGGGGGTATGGTTAATAAATATAGGGGTATAAAAAATAGCCCCCTTAAGTATATATTGTATTACTAATTCACTACCGTACAGCGACGTATACAATACAACAGGTCTTTTACAAGGAATTCAAGTTTACCCTCCAGGCTACTTTGTGAAGAGAGATACTATACAAGGGTGTACACTGAAGAGAATATTAATTATATGAATTGATTTTATAACAGGATCATTTATTCGACTATTGATACCTTTCGAAATATTAGAATTTTACAATTGAATAGTACGCCGATACTATTTAAAGGGGATACTTATTCAAGGGATACTATGCAGCACTGTACGGTAGCAGAGCCAGAATACTCATCTAAATTTTCTAAATTTGTATTTTTATTGATTGTAAACCGAGACTGAATTAAGATCGGTTTATTGGACAAGCTTATGAACCTTGGTCTGATCCACGGTTTGTCAACTGGGCAAAACTGAACCAACCGTAACATCACTACCATATAAAATTAGGCTCATCCGCAAAAACTTTATCAAGCAAGATCCGAACTATTTTTTAACCCTGAAACAAAAAATAAATGAATAGACTACCTGCATCAGCCTGCTACACATGTTACACTGTACGAATATATCAGTATATTATACATATGTACTGTGTGATAATATCTGACTTGACCCTTTCTCGTTGATACATCGTAAAAATAATTCATGGCATCAAAAATATTTACGGGCGATATGCCCGAATTAATGGAAAATATTCTTAATAATTTAAAGAACGAAATTTATACCTTATACTCGTGCACACTTGTGAACCGACATTGGTGCAAAATATCAATTCCTATTCTTTGGCAAAATCCGTTTTCAATTGATCGAAATCCATTATTCATTTCTCAATACTTTTCATATCTTGACGAAAACGAAAATTTTGATTTGAAAGAATACGGAATAAATGTAAAATTTCCAAATACGTTATTTAATTATGCAAGATTTTTGAAGGTTCTCGATTTATTTATTTTAGAAAAGAAAGTTGGAAAATGGATCGATTTACAGCTTGTTGATTCAAAACCATATAATACTCAATTAATATATCGCTTGGTTAATTCATTATTTAAATTATTTGTTGAGAGTGGAGCCACTTTGCACAAATTTAATTTATGGTTTCCTCATTATGAAATTAATTCCGAGACTTTCTGCTCATTAGAACAAAATGGGCTATTTTTCTCACGACTTCTAGATTTATCTTTGGGCCCAATATCAGTGTTCAACACCGAAAATGATACTACATTACTAAAAATCTTGGCAAAAAACGCTACAAAAATCAACGTTTTGAAAATTGAAGAATTCAATTCTGTTTATGATTCACAATTTCATAATGCTCTTATATGCATTATTAAATCACAAGAACAACTTAGGCAATTTAGTTTAGTCGGTGGAGAAGAATATCCTACAGAATTCCACGGTATTTTCTCAGCTTTAGAGAGTCAAAAAAAATCATTACAAGAAGTTATAATAGAAAAGTGTACTTGTAACACAGAATTCAAGGTGCTAATGAATTGTAAAAATTTAGAAATTCTTCGTATTAGATATTGTGATGATGTAAAATTATTAGAGGCAAGCCTTAACACTTTAGAAGTTACTAGTTACTTCATTGATTCATCAAGTATAGTACAAATTTTACAAAAGTCTGGCTCATTATTACAACGATTAAAATTTGAAGCAACAGAAGAAAAAATTTGGGAAGTATCTTTATTACTAGAAACACTTAAGTCCTTCTGCCCAAATATTACATATCTCAACATTTCAAGTATTGAATTTTCCACACAACTCTTAGAGCTTATTGGAAATTTACAAAGACTTCAATTTCTCACTTTAGGGTACATTTATAACATAGGTGAAGAATTAAAAATATGGATTAAGCGGTTTGCAGAAATATTGCCGTTAACATTACAATACCTTGACATAAGGGGTTCTTGTTTAAGTTCATATATTGATATTTTGCTCAATAATTGCCATGCACCTTTAAAAAATCTGTTAATTGATCGACTTGATAAGGAAAAAAATGCTAAAGCATTAATCGAATTCTGCATACGAAAAAGATCTTTAAATTATGTAGGTGTAATGAGTAGATATTTGAAATTCTATTATAATATTAAAAACTTAGTAGAAGAATATGTTACACTTGTACCATATGAATGCATTGAGGTTAAATGTTAATTTCTATAATTTTTTTTTATAATTAGTGTTTGAACAAGGTTTATGACTAATTTTTAAACATATAAATAAACGTATAAATAAAGTACATTCAAACCTCCTTATAGTCACCTCCTATATATGCACATTTTCTTATTTTTTTAAAAACTATCTACTATTAAATATAATAATTTGGCTTCTATAATTAGCACACTTTTTTATAATTCTGCTTTTTTGTATCCCGTAGGTGTGACTATAGATAGGTTTAATAGTTCATCAATAAATTCAGTATATGATAGTTCAACACTTCATCTTTTATAGTTATTAAGCCACTAAAATTAACAAATATTTGAAAAAAAATTTAATAAATGAATATTTTACTACAAACTCCTGTAATAGCATTATCTCGTATACCAAATTTTTCGTAAATACTCTGAATCTGCAACATTATCAACAAAATCTAGACAAGCCGAATAATCTTCTGTTTTAAGGTTATAAATTCTATAAATATGCAACATTTACGGAAAAAACATGCATATAAAGCAAGGATTGACTTTTTTTATAGGGACTAGTTTAGGGACAGGTTAGAGTAAGAGTAAGGTTAGAGCATATTGATAACCCAAAGTTTTAAAGTAACTTCATAAGCGATATTTCAAGTTATAAACGATTTTTAAGCAAAAAATTGTTATACCTGATCTTAATTACTAAAGAAAATTATGATACTTATTTATTGCATATTGAAATATATATTTTTAATAACTTTATAAATATAAATTGCAATTTAGGGAAAACGAGTAAAAAAAAAATTAGTATTATATATTATAGATTATCAATACTACTATAGCTACAAGCGAATGACCATCACAATCCGGTGCCAGTTATCACGTAATATGTAACTGACACAATTTAATACTGATACGTATTACCAAAGCTTAAATAATTTAAATCGTCTACTTTTTTTTTTTATAGCTCTTGCTATTATAGTGTCTTATTTCTAAAAATTACTTTAAAATGTTTAACTACAGTTAGTATGAGGAAAGTATACAATGCAGACGTATAATATTTCAACAAGAGGCATTATGTATTTCTGCATAACAAAATTACGCTATAGGACTTTATTATTTGTCTTAATAAGTTATAGGTGTAATGTTTAATAACATTTATTATGTATTTTAGCAAGTCGACTTGTTGAACGTTAAGGTTCCCAATGGTATGTAATATTTGCTTTACTTATAAATAAATAAATTTATTACTAATTGTATATTGGTATTTAGATTATCAAGTAAAAGAAAGTTATTATTGCCATGCTATATATCTTTATGTTTGTACGTATCTTAAAGTTTTTCACTGACAAAGTTGGTATTATTTATAGTTTGTGTTGAATTAATGTAGATTATTAATGAAATAGTTGTTAGCAAATTCTACTAAAGACTTAGCCCTCTTTATTTAGGAATTAAACTATTTAAGCTTCTTAAAAAGTATTACAAAATTTATATAATAAAAAAAATTTAAATCAATTAACAAAGAAAATCAGTAGATTTAATTATGGTAGATACGCCAGTTGGTTAAGATCTTCCAAAGTAAATACCAACAAGTGTCGCAAAAATATTACACTATATTTACCCTAAAACATATAATTTAGATGAATTAATAGAAATGGATGATGATGACGATGAGAAAGCATTGAGAATAGTTATTGAAAGGCATCAACATTAAATATTAAAACAAAATCAAGAAAGCCCTATGATAACATCAATGATGTTAAAAAGAATTTAATTTTAACGTAAAAGCAATGAGAACATATCAATTATCAAGATCAGAAAGACTGATGCCGATTATATATTTCAAAGCAAAGATAAAAAGAAAGGTATAGATCCTGAATTTCCAGAAAATTCTTTGATTAATATACAAAAAATTAATGGAGGAAAGTTGGATTGCATTGAATTAGATGGTGATCATATTAGTGTGAATTTACATCCAATATGTAAAAATATTTCTAATTATATCAAACAGTATTTAAATCTAAATATTCTTGATACGTTGAAAGAAAATGTGATGAATTAGAGTAGTATCATCATTAGCATATTTTTTTTTATTAATAACTTTAAATTAATATCTCTAATTATTTAACGTTTATATGATGATTATCTTTGGGTAATTATCGGTTATTTCGCAGTATGACCACGGGCTTTTGTCATGTATTCTTTTAGTGTAGCTTCATGAGCCCATTTTATTTGAAAAGAAATTGTTTGTTCAAACATTTGTTTATTATACTTGTGCTTGATCTGGAGCTTGTGTTGTGTTGTGCTGGCACATTTAGATTAGATGGCGACTATACTCATATTAAAACTTGACAAAAATATAACTATCCATGTGATATGCATCATTTCAAAATTTAAGACGATTCCAAATTAACCTAAGCCATTTTTAAATTATGTATAGCACAAAAAAACAAAGAAAAATAGCGTTGCATTGTGTGTTACAAAATTTTTAAAAATTTTTACGATAATAAAAACATATATATGTGCTAAAATAAAAATTTTTAATTTGATAAAATTTCCAATATTTATATAAAAAGGTATTTAGACAAATCTAAAACCTAAGATACGCATATAATATAATAAAACAAAATGAATCTCAAAAATAGTGCAATGCCATTTTGGCAAAACATCAAAATGTTATTTTCGAATTTGAATGGTTTAATTATCTTGATATAAAAAATAAAAATATATATATGTTAACAGAATTTAAGTTGGTTCGGAATTTTTAAGATTAGGGTTGGGATTTTTAGTATAATTATTCCAGTTCTAATCTAAGTGGATTCTGAACCTATAATGATTCCATTCCCATTTACAACATATATATAAGAATAAAAAAAAAACTATATGTTGATTTCGGGTATTAAAATAAAGTTCACATGCAATAAATCAGTGTATAGTGGTACAGAAAGTTTTGAGAGTCTCTTTACGAGTAGAAATTTTAATATAACTAATCATTTCAAAGTTAAAAATTTCCTTAAAGTGATTATTCAATTATCATCAAATATTATCTGACCCGGAAAATTTGCCCGGCTATCATTTTTGTTGGACTCATAAATCCACATCAATAAAAAATTACGCATCAGCAGGGAGTTTAAGATTTATCTGATCGCTATCAACCATCTCGGATAACCTTCCGACGATCTCTTGTGTGGGGATCGGTTTGCTCGTGTACATGTAATCTGGGTATTTTTGTGTGACAATCGGTAATCCTATAATTATCTCATCAGCTTCCAAAAACTGCATTTTGATTTCATCTTTAACCAAACTATTCATAATTATATTCCATTCATCAAGCTTATTTTTTATATCTGTAGCGGTAGGGCGTCTTCGTTGATTAGAATCCATGCACTGCATTGCCAATTCGACATAACAATTTGGAGTTCCAGGTGCAAACTCAGGTCGCAATCCTTCAATAATTTTTATAGCAAGATCAACATTAAATGATCTATCGGCAAATGGTCTCAGTCCGCTTGACACTTCAGTCATTATAATTCCAAAGCTGTATATATCTGAAGTTTGTGTGGATGGTTCACCTTGCAATACTTCCGGTGCAACATAAGGTAAAACTCCAAAACCCTCTGTTTTCACAGATGATGAGAGTCCTAGATCTGCAATATATGCATTATCTATATCATTCTGTAAGATATTACCGCTATGTAAATCTCGATGAATATACCCTTGAGAATGGATTGATTCAAGATCCGAAATTATACAATGCAAAAGCTTTAACTTTTTCCCCAGTCCATTCGTAAAACACTATGAAGATTCTTATTCAAAGATTCCAACTTAGCATATTCTAAAACAAGAATAAATTTTCCTTCATTTTTTGATATACCATAGCAATTTAAAAATGAAGGATTTACTTCTCTGATTGCACAATATGCTTTTAATTCTTTCATAAATTCTTTAAGAGCATATGAATTAAGTATCTTGTGTGCAACTGTTATATTTACATCATGATTTTTATCTTTCCATTCGGCACGATACACAGTAGCAAATCCACCTTTTCCTACTTCTTGAATATTTTTGAATTCTTCATGGGGGATCCATGGTATTAGATATTCATTTTCGACATAAGTACATTTGTATGCAACTAATCAAAAAAAACAAAAAAAATTTAATGTCCTATTAATTCATTATTAAATGACTTAATACACATTACCTGTTGTAAAATTTTTTGCTCTTAAAGATTTGAATTATTTGAATTATTTGAATCATTTATCAGAATCAACACAAAAATTCAAAATAAAAATTATTTACCTTTGATACCAATAATTCGATTTTTGCAAATCCCTGGTAACTCCAATTCCATTTCGATAAAATAAACCTACTATTGACATTCCAGCAGAAAGGCCTAAGTCGGCAGCTTTCTTATAATGTTCGAAAGCCTTAAGTTTATCCTTCTCAACTCCGATTCCATTTTCATAGAAGTATCCAACATTATATACTTTTTGAGCATCACCTAATTTTATTGATTTTTGATAATACTCAGTGGCCTTGAGCTTGTCCTTTTCAATTCCAATTCCATTTTCGTAATGATATGCTGCCGTAAGATAATGTTCCAAGGCTTTCTTTTTATCCTTTTTAACTCCGATTCCTTTTTCATAACGATCTCCAACATTACATATTCCTTGAACGTTAATTAATTCTGCTGATTTTTGATAATATTCAAAGGCCTTTCGCTCGTCCTTTTTAACTCCGATTCCTTTTTCATAAAAATATCCAACATTATATGCTCCTTGAACGTTACCTAATTTAGCTGATTTTTGATAATATTCGAAGGCCTTGCACTCGTCCCTTTAACTCCGATTCCTTTTTCATAATAATATGCTGCCTTATAATAAAATTCCGAGGCTTTCTTATTATCATTTTTGACTCCGATTCCTTTTTCATAAAAATATCCAACATTATGTGTTCCTTGAACGTTACCTAATTCTGCTGATTTTTGATAATATTCGAAGGCCTTGCACTCGTCCATTTTAACTCCGATTCCATTTTCATAAAAATATCCAACATTATATGTTCCTTGAACGTTACCTAATACTGCTGATTTTTGATAATATTTAAAGGCCTTGAGCTCGTCCTTTTCAACACCAATTCCATTTTCATAATGATATGCTGCCTTATAATAAAATTCTGAGGCTTTCTTATTATCATTTTTGACTCCGATTCCTTTTTCATAAAAATATCCAATATTATATATTCCTTGTACGTTACCTAATTCTGCTGATTTTTGATAATATTCAAAGGCCTTGCACTCGTCCTTTTTAGCTCCGTTTCCTTTTTCATAAAAATATCCAACGTTATATGTTCCTTGAATGTTACCTAATTCTGCTGATTTTTGATAATATTCGAAGGCCTTGCACTCGTCCTTTTTAGCTCCGATTCCTTTTTCATAACAATATCCAATATTATATGTTACTTGAACGTTACCTAATTCTGCTAATTTTTGATAATATTCGAAGGCCTTGCACTCGTCTTTTTTAATTCTGATTCCTTTTTCATAAAAATATCCAACACTATATGTTCCTTGAGCGTTACTAATTCTGCTGATTTTTGATAATAATCAAAGGCCTTGAGCTCATCCTTTTTAACTCCGATTCCTTTTTCATAGCAATATCCAACATTATATGTTCCTTGAACGTTACCTAATTCTTCTGATCTTTGATAACACTTGAAGGCCTTGAGCTCGTTCTTTACAATACCAATTCCATTTTCGTAATTATATGCTGCCTTTTGATAATATTCGGAGGCTTTGCGCTTATCCTTGTCAATCCCGACTCCTTGAGCGTCACCTAATTTTGCTGATTCTTGATAAAATTCGAAGCCCTTGCGTTCGTCCTTTTTAACTCCGTGGCCATGCAGATAGCTCCATCCTCGTGTGCAGAGCTCTTTTATCGTTTTACTCATAATTAAAATAAAATCAAAAGTACACGAACAACTTAATGAAGTTCTATTTATGTTTTTAGGTTACAAGGTATGCACATATTTTTGCGAGTAATACAAACTTCTAAAATAGAAAACGGCAAATCAGAGAGCGCATCGTTCAAGATTTGGATGATATATAATTTTAAACCCCAGATTAAAGTACAGTATTTTAATGTTAAACTTAGATATTGATTGTAAACAAAACTAAAATTCATATTGATATTACAAATTAGAGCCAATTATCTATACTACAAAATTAAAAATTTTAATGTCTTTTCGGAATAATTAATACGTAGTTATTCGGCAACTATATAGCTTCTGCCGAATTAGTTTGTTTGATATTTGTGTAACATTTTCACATTTTTATGCAGCCACATTTTCTTGGCGCAATCTATATGTCATGTGGGCGGCTTCGCGCCTGTTTTAATGATTGTGTATACAGAAGTAAAGTTTAATTGTATGACAATAGTTTGGATACTGCTGATAAATTAATGGATTTCATATTGTCGCGGGTAATTTTTTTTGCGTAAGAGAAGTTCTAAATGTATATGCACAAGTGTGCAATTAAATTTGAATAAGGAGTTTGCGCGCAAGAGATATTATGAAATTTTATTGCACTAAAATTTAGTCTAAATATAAAATATGGGATAAGCTAAAGATATTCCGATAAGTTCCGAAAGGAAAATGAATGAGCATAAAATACAAGCAAGGTCGAGCATAAATTTTAAGAAACTATCTGAAATATTACGAAAAAATTAAACAAACATATGATATATTTGGTAGTAATTTTAAATTTTTATAACGTTGTCAGACCCAAAACGGCGAGTCTGTCGCTAAATCGAAAGTATGTCTGTGTAACCAAACCTAGGTTACTTTAGGGTCGAAAGAGGCGTGTTAGATTTAGTCGAGTGGTGTAGTTTTAGTTCGGGACAGAACCAAAGTTTAACACAGTTGAGGCAGGGTTCGTAACGAAGGTGTATCTTTGTATCTTAAACGTTAGGTAGCGTATAATTTTTATTAAGAGTAATTAATCAAATTTACGAAGTGTATGGTTTTATTAATAATGGTAGTATGATATATGAAAGTAATTGTATG